CATTTTCTTTGTCCGTTCTTCAGTTGAGGGGAATTTAGGTTATTTCCAGTCTTTGGCTATTGTGAATAAAGCTTCTGTGAACATAGTTGAGCAAAGGTCCTTGTGATAGAATGGAGAATCAGTCCTTTGGATGTATGCCCAAGGGTCGTATAGCTGGGTGTTGAGGTAGATTGATGCCCAAGGGTTATATAATTGGGTATTGAGGTAGATTGACTTCCAATTTTTTGAGAAACCTCCATACTTATTTCCATAGTGACTGTACAAGTTTGTTCTCCCACCAGCAATGGGAGGACTCTCCTTGCTCCACATCCTCGCCAATATAAATGGTCCCTTGTGGTTTTGATTCTACTGACTGGTATAAAATGGAATCTCAATGTAGCTTTGACTTGCATTTCCCTAATGGCTAAAGAAACATTTCCTTTGGTGGCTAAGCCGTTGAAAATTTCAAGTGTTTCTCAGTTATTGAGTTTTCTCTATTGAGAACCCATTCACAGTACATTGTCATATTTCCCTGACATTCTTCAGTTAATTAACTAACTGGGTTTCTCTGGGCAGCCCTGGATTCCTGGAAATCAATTTGTAGGCCTCAAATTCCCAGAGACCCGCCTGCCTCTGCCTCCTGAGTGCTGGGATTAAAGGCCTGTGCCACCACCGCCTAGCAACAATTTGTTTTAATTTATGCTTTGCTCTTTGTTTGAAATGTACTTAAGTAGCAGTAAATACCCAGAGAGTGAAGGGCTCTAGAAATGTCCTTCCACCCAGTGTCACCTTGTGTGATTGCTTGCAATGACCCAGGAAGAATGCTTTCCATCCTCAGTTCTTGAAAAAGAACAGAGCATGCATACTACAGAAAGAAGTCTCACTTGGCGAACATTTTTGGGTCATTTATAAGAGGGGAAAAAAGGGGGAAAAAGGGGGGAAAACAGTTCCATCTGAGACAATCCAAGAAGGAGTGGTTAGTCCGTCTGAGAGAATCATGCATTTCCTGGATAAATATTAAACTCTCAATTTCAGTGTTTTAAATACACTACATTAAAATGTTTTCAACCTTTAAGAAGACAACGGCCAATATGATAGATTGTTATTCCTAGTGTTGAATTTGCTATTCTTCAGAAATGTGTTAGCCCCAATCATAAATGTGTGTTTTCTTTAAAAGTTCCTTTTCCTCTCTAAAGAAAAGGAGAAAAAAGAAAGAGCAAACCCCAGAGAATCCTGGATCACAGGGTGGGTGTCGGCTTCACTGCAGGGGGTTGCATCATTTCCCTCTTTGCTCATGATCCCATAGCAACAACTTCTCTCTTGTCTTGAATTCAAACTAGGACAGTGTTTGTGACTCACTTTTTAAGGGATATTTCTAGCATCAGAGGAACTCGGGAGAGGCCACACCACTCTTCAGAAAATGCCCTCATCGTTTTCCTTCTGCTGCAGTCCCTTCTCCCCTTCACCGCAGTTCCACGCTGTTAATACGCAAGCGTGCCTGCGTGAGAGTGCCACAAAGTGCTCCAAACTCACATGTCACTCTGCCAGCACCCCGGTTCCCACGCAGTCTGTGAGAGCTTCAAATACCTATTCGTGCAAAACAAATAAAGTTCTTATTTTCACTCAAAACTTAGAAACTTCAACAGAGCATCTTCCACCCCAACAGGACTCCCTGAAATAAGCTTCATCCGCCATAAAAAATGAGGGAAAGATTTGTCTTACATATTTTGTTGTTGTTATTGTTTTTGTTTTGCTTTTCTGAGGCCAGGCTGGCATTGAACTCAATGATCCTTCTGCCTCTGCCTCCTGAGCGCTGGGACTAAAGGCATATGCCACCACACCTGGCTTGAATTTTATTTTATTGTATTTTATCAACATTTACTTGTTTTTTTTTTTTGGATTTTTTCGAGACAGGGTTTCTCCGTAGCTTTTGGTTCCCTGGTCTACAAGAGCTAGTTCCAGAACACTTACTTATTTTGAAGGAAGAGTAAAGGGGGTGAGCCCCGGGGTGTATGACGTTGGTTCTCTCCTGCCAAGTGAATTTCAGTAAATAAGTCTGATCATCAGTGCCTTTACCCTCCCCCACTGAGCTATTGCCACCCCCTAAGAATTTTAAATATTGAATTCTAGAGCATATGGCTCATTTTACTATAGCTGTATGGAGTGAGCCAGGTTCTCCAGCTACCATAAAAGAGATGTTAGCTACCCTCTGATAGATAACCCTCATGGAGTCTTATTATTTTCTCTTTCATCTCTCACAACACTATATGATGTCAATATTGCCATTCACAAAGGAATAAGATTGTAGAGTTAAAACAATATCCTCAACTTTACACAATAAACAACAGGGTCAGAATTCAAATGCTTGAGTCTGCCCTTATCTCAGAGTGATGGCCTGCTATTCCATGCTGCAACTTCTAACCCATGAGTCTCAGAGCTCTTACAGAACCAAAGACTAAATCACATGTCACCCAGTGTGACCTCAGCATCACTGGGTAGAGTGTCTCTGGTCTGCCTGTGTCCTTCATCCCTTTGGTGAAGAACTAGTGAATCTCAGTGGACACCATTTGCATCTTCGCAGCAGTGGCTCAGCCTTGTCAGAATCCTAAAATTATCAAGGGTTCTTGGAAGAAATATTTATATCTAGAACTCAATGTTGGAGAATCCAGTTTAATTGATATAGATACATTATTTTTTTAAGTAATTTCTTAAGTCAGCACCGAAAGTGATATGTTTTATTATGGCATTTCATACATAATTCCTAAAGTTAACACACTGTATTAGTTACTTTTCTACTGATGTGATAAAATGGCATGACCACAACAATTTATAGAAGGAAGAGTCTATTTTGAATTTTGGTCCCAGAAGACTAGAATTCATAATGGTGGACACAGCATGGCAGCAGGCAGCAGCATTATGACAGGAATGGGAAGCTAAGAAGCTAAGAGCACACACACACACATGCACTCCCCTACTCACCCTACACACCTCCCCCTCCAGTCCTAAGAGAGGGCAGGGTACCCTGCCTGTGGGAAGTCCAAGGCCCTCCCCATTCCATCCAGGCTTAGGAAGGTGTGCATCCAAATAGACTAGGATCCCAAAAAGCCAGTACATGCAGTAGAGACAAATCCCAGCGCCATTATCCTTGGCTTCTCAGTCTGCCCCAATTGTCAGCTACATTCAGAGGGTCCAGTTTGATGCCATGCTTGTTCAGTCCCAGTCCAGCTGGCTTTGGTGAGCTCCCATTAGATCAGTCTCAGTGGGTAGACTGGCCTTTTGGGATCCTAGTCTGGAGGGGAAGGGAAGGGAAATGGGAGGAGTGGAGAAAGTGGAAATTTTGAATGGTATTATTTATAAAGCAATAAAATTTTTTTAAAAAGACAAGAAAAAGTAAAAAAGAAAAAAGAAATAAAATGGGCTTTAAAAAGGAGAGGGATTGTGTTTGTTTAGGTAGGACTCACATATATTTATTTATGTATGAACAGGTTTATACTTGAAACCAGAAGTTTTAAAATATACAAATGAGTATACTGTAAAAAGTAAATCTCTCCTACTTCTTCCTCTTTCCCTATTTCTTACTCATCCTTCAAGACTTTCCTATTGATGTTGATTTGCTGTATATTACTCTATAGTAATATGAGATTAGATACATAGATAGGTGATAAATAGATTGGTAAAGACCCTTTTTGTTAGTTCAGGTGAATTCCAAGGAATGCCTAATGAGTATTATTAGAGTAATTATTAGAATTTATTTATTCTGAAAAATGGCCTATATGGGTAATAATCACTGATGAATATACATGTAATTTGTTCAGTTTAACAGGCATGAAGCCATAAAACTATCTAATACGTCCAAATTCATAGAAACAGAGATAAAAGAGCGGTTGTCAAAGGTTTGTAGAAATGAAAATTGACAATGATTGTAAATTTTCAGTTTATAGATGAGTAAGTCCTAGAGATCTGTACCACATAAGCCTTTGGATTAAAAATAAGATATTGTGCACTTCAAAATGTATTAAGCAATTAGATATATTGATAAATTTTTTACTACAAATAGAAGAGAGATACAAGAAAACATCATAATGTGTTAGATAATGCTAATTATTCTGTAGAAAATTTATTTGCATGTATCAAATTTATCACTTTATATCTGATTACAGGGTAATAGCAAAAATATGTAAAAATTTTTGAAAAATCAGCAAGAATAATCTATTAAGATTTTTAGCTCTTTGTTGTTGTGGTTTGAATCAGAATGACCCCTCAGAGGCTCATAGGTTTGAATATTTGGTCCCCAATGGTGGAACTGTTTTGGAAGGATTAAGAGGGTTAGCCATATTGGAGGAAGCGTGTCATTGGGGAAAGCTTTGGAGTTTCAAGAGCTCAACAGTTTCCATTTAGCTCTTCCTCTGCCTCCTGCTGTGGATCAGGATGTACAATCTCAGCTACCATACCCTGTCTGACTGCTGCAATGCTCTCCATTGTGATGGTCTTGGACTTACCCTCTGAAACCGTAATACCCCCATAAACTCTTCTGTGTATCAGTTGCTTCGGAAAGGAGTATCTTAACACAGTAATAGAATAGTAACTAGCACATTGGTATAACAATTACATCTCATTAAGACTGTTTAGGGTTGCTAAAATCCTCAGTACGCAAAGGAGTCATCTATCATATCTTTCTTTACAATCTTTCTGCCTCCTCTTCCACATAGAGTCCTGAGACTTGAGGGGAGGAGCTTGATAAAGACATACCATCCATACATTGTCCAGTCATGGGTCTCTGTGCTAATTGTTATTTAGTGCAAAAAGAAGCTTCTCTGACGACGGTTGAGTGATGCACAGATCTATGGGTATAGCAATATGTCAGTAGGAATCATCTTATTCTATGTTCTTTTAGCAGAATAAAAGTAGTAAGTTCTTCCTGAAGACAGAAATTTCTGTCCTGCCCAGTCCTGCAGCCATTCAGTCCCAAAGAAACGCACAGAGGCTTTCGGCCGGTAGCCATCTTTCAGTAACTTGCCAACATGACAAACACAAAGGGAAAGAGGAGGGGCACTTGCTATGTGTTCTCTAGGCCCTTTAGGAAACATGGAGTTGTTCCTTTGGCCACGCAAATGCAAATCTACAAGAAGGGTGATATTGTGGACATCAAGGGAATGAGCACTGTTCAAAAAGGAATGCCCCATAAATGTTACCATGTCAAAACCAGGAGAGTCTACAGTGTCACTCAGTGTGTTGTGGGCATCATTGTAAACAAGCAGGTTAAGAGCAAGATTCTTGACAAGAGAATTAATGTGCAGATTGAACACATCAAGCACTCGAAGAGCAGAGACAGCTTCCTGAAGCAGGTGAAGGAGAACGACCAGAAGAAAAAGGAAGCCAAAGAGAAGGGTACCTGGGTTCAGCTGAAGTGCCAGCCTGCTCCACTGAGAGAAGCAAACTTTGTGAGGACTAATGGGAAGGAGCCTGAGCTGCTGGAGCCCATTCCGTACGAATTTATGGCCTAAAGTACAAAAAAAAAAATAAAATAAAAGACCTGGACCCACCTATCCTTCCTGCCTGCCTCTGGCCAATCAGCATTTTATTAAACCAATGTGAGTGACAATCTTTACAGTGTACAAAAGCATTCTCCCATAGCCTCTAGGGCTTAGGTCCATGACCTATCTGTTCTGAGGCTCTTAATCACTTTAGCAATGTCAGGTATGGGTTCTGTCTCATGGAGTGGGCCTTAAATCCAATCAGAAAGTGATTGATTACTTCCACAATATTTCTGCCACTATTGCACCAGCATATCTTGCTTCAGATCATAGGGTTTGTAGCTCTATGATACTGACAATTACTTTTCTCCTCTGGTATCAGACAAAATACCTTCTAGCACCATGAACCTTAATCAGTAGGGTGAAGCTCCTGGTTGAGCACCAGCTAAGCTTCTCCAGGTACATTGACATACGTAAATGTTTTCCTAACAACAACGCCTTACTGTCAGGTTGTGGGAGGTAACCAGTAACCTTGGCAATAGCCTGTGTGTGTGTGTGTGTGTGTGTGTGTGTGTGTGTGTGTGTGTGTGTGTGTGCTTGGTTTGCCAATGGTTCAACAAGATATAATCAATTTCTGGAACTGGTGATGTTAGTTGGTGGCATAGGATATTAGGTAAGGGCCTTGTCTCCTCCGTCATATGGTGACTTCATTTAAACCCCATTCATATATGTATATGTTTTAAAACACTTCTGTGGAATTATGCTTCCATATGGCTTTTCAGAAGACGTTCAGTACAAGTTATCTCTCTCTGACTCCCTCTTTAACTCTACCATCCTAGCAACATTCTCATTTAATCCTCCTATTCTAGTTTCCCTTTTATCTCTTTTTAACACTATATTCTATTTCTCTTTCTTTTGTGGCTATTCTGAATGAAACAAACATATATGAATAAAGAAATATAATTTAAAAATTTTAAAGACTTTAAAAACTTTTATAGAGTTGTACTTAATGACCTTTCTTTTGTGGTTTAGAAAACCTATAGGAGTTACCTAGCAAAGATATAAAATCTCCCATTTTTTTTTCTAGTTCTTTCCAAGTGTTTTGCCTGTTTTTCCTTAGTTTTCTATCTAGAAAACCTTATACTCATTTACTAAATTATCCCACTTGCTCCCACTAATTTTAAATAACACCTTAGTTATAATGTGTCTCAAGTTATTTTCTAGATTTTTCTCAGAAATAGTTTTGTAAAGTAAAAATAACAGGTTTTTCTAGATTCTATATCTGTTTTTAGAATGTGCAAAAGATGTTGGTATAAATGCAAAATGGTACAGTTATTATGAGAAACTGTGCTAGTACTGCAGAAAATTATAGCCATGATTGCCACGTGACCTAGCAATTCCTGGTTGGCATGTACCCAAGAAAACTGAAAGGAGGATCTCACAGAAATATCTTCATGTTCAAGTTTACAGAAGAATTATTTGTAACAGCCAAGATATACAAGCAGCATAATTGTCCCTGGGCATATGGATGAATAATGAAAATATGCTATGTTGATTAATTTCAGTTGCAGTTTGACACAATCTAGAGTCACCTAAAAAGAAGGCCTCAATGAGGAATTTTCTAGATCAAGGTGGACTATAGGCATGTCTGTGAGGGATTGTCTTGATTATATTAATTAACATAGGAACATCATATGTAGGTAGAATCTACATTTGACAGGTAGAGTGGTCAAATTTATAGAAAAAGAAAGCAAAAGAGTGATTGTCAAGGGACAAGATAAACATGAAATTGAGAGATTGTTTTATTGGTGTAGAGTTTCATTTTTGAATGATGAAAAATTCTGAAGACAAGCTAAATACTTTAAACATACTTAAAACTATTAAATTATAAACAATGTGCTGTTAAAATGGATAGAGTAGTAAATTTTATTTTATATGTATTTTACTTTTGCCACAAATAAAAAACTAAATAGCGTTATATCAAACATTGATCAGGTCAACTAACATGAAATTTTAGTGGTGGTGTGGGCAAGTGCATGCTCATATGTAGCTCATATCCTTATAAATGGTTTCCCTCATCTAAGTGGGATAAATTCCTAATATCTATCAAAATTGTTAAACATAGAAACTTTTTGCATAGTAGTTGTGCCTTTTCAGATTCTTCCCAGAGATAAATATTGATTTGAACTTCTGATAATACATATGAAAAGCATTCATTTTAGTGTTTGATAAAATCAGATTTAATCAACAATTAGAAATAATTTATTATGTCTCCCAGCAGAATACCAATTAAATGTGTTAATGATAAATGTACACAGTAGAATACACATAACTATAAAAATAATGGACCACTCAACATGTTCTTTTGTAAGTAAATTGCCTCTGGGCATTGTGTTCAACACATGTCAATAACTTAAAGTTTTAGAAGCCCACAGCCAGACATTAGTTGAAACTCAGGGAAGAAGCAGAGGAAGGATTGTAGGAGCCAGTGGGGTCACAACACCCCAAAAACACAACCCACAGAATCAACTAAGCAGAGCTGATTGAGGCTCACAGAGACTGAGGCAGCAACCATGGAGCCTGCATAGGACTATGTTAGGTCCTATTATTATTAAAGTTGTGCAGCTTGATCTTCTTGTGGGACTTCTAACAGTGAGAGTGTGGGTGTCTGTGACTCTTGCCTGCTCTTAGGACCTATGTCTTCCTTCTGGATTGTCTCTTACAGCCTTGATATGAGGGTTTGTGCCTAGAGTTTTATTTCATTTTGTTATGCCTCTTTAGTTTGAAATCCCTAGAAGGCCAGCTCTTTTCTGAAGGGAAACAGAAGAGGAGTGGATCAGGGAGAGAAAGGAGATGGGGGGGGGGCTTGCTGGGAGGAGTGGAGGGAGAGGAATATGAGGTTGGGATTTATTGTATTAGAAAAGATAAAATAAAAAGAAAAAAGAAGGCTGGGCGGTGGTGGCACACGCCTTTAATCCCAGCACTCAGGAGGCAGAGGCAGGCGGATCTCTGTGAGTTCGAGGCCAGCCTGGTCTAGAAGAGCTAGTTCCAGAACAGGAACCAAAAAGCTACAGAGAAACCCTGTCTCAAAAATCAAAAAGAAAAAAGAAAAAAGAAGTAACATTCCTATCCAAACTATTTTCAGGGGTACATTTTTAATCGCTATATTGTGATAAGACACTTCTTGGAACGGAAGAAATCAGAATATTCTATCAGTTTGTCTGCCATGTTTTAGTTACTAAAATGTAGAGTGTGTCTGAAGAATAACATGGCTAGCTAGCAAGTGACTTCTGTGTGTCTGCGTGAGGAACAAGGAGAGTGACGGGAAGGAACACTTCGCTGAATATTCCTTAATATCTTCCCCTGGGTGTCACTTACAAACATAAGCCTTCTTAGAAATAAATAAACAAAAGTGGTACTTAAGCATCAAATGTGTTTCTCTTCTACCCTCCAACACCCACCTCTTAGCAGGGGCAGTCTCCCAGCCTTCATTTCTTGTCATTACCTGGAAATTATGCCTCTGTTCTGAGTCCCCTTCCTAATGTGAAATCTGCAGGACCAGTGATGAGTTTTATTCCATCCTTTATGCCTTTCATTTTTCTTTTAAAAAAATGACCACATCTATTCAATGTAGCATGGTACTGCAGGATACATAGACAGCAAAATCATTATAATAGAGAAATAGGAACATATCCATTATTTCATGTTGTTGCCCGTTTATTTGTGGCAAGATCAGATAAAATATACTCAAAGGTAGAAGTCCTTAATATGTGATAAAATTGGGCCGTTCTAATTCTCAGTGTCTGAAAATTTTTAAAAATAAAAATAATGTATCTCAATATAGTCTATGGAAGCAAAGGAAAAATTATTTTTTGTACAAGTTGCAAACAACTGTGATAGACAATGTGACAGTATGCATTAAAATGAAGAGTGCATGTTGGGTTAGGCTGCTTGTTCATTTCCCAGCAGCCCAGACTCCCGAAATAATCACACAGAAACTGTATTATTTAAATCACTGCTTGGACAATCACTTAAGAGTACTGCCAGCTAACTCTTATATCTTTGGTTAACCCATTTCTATTATTTTATATTTTCCACAAGGATCGTGGCCTATCAGCAAGGTTTCAACTGGTAGCTCCATGGTGTCTCTTTGACTCCACCTTCTTTCTCCCAGCATTCAGTTTAGTTTTCCCTGCCTAGCTCTACTCTGCCCTATCACAGACCAAGAAAGTTTCTTTATTCATTAACCAATAAAAGCAACACATATACAGAAGGACTTCCCATAGCAAGTGCACACATTCTTTTACCAAACAAGTACACTTCAAGAGCTTTATCTGAGAGATACACCCCTCAAGAACAAGTAGCTCCTATATGTTGATTGAATGTATCGCAATGTACAGAGGGGGTATTTGCTTCTGCACAAGCTTGTGATTTACAGGACTGGGCTGTGAGACCAAGTAATTCATTCCTTTAACTGCAATGATGTGTGGTCTCTCATGCTTACAGACACGTGGACTCAAAGAAATGAAAAAAACTCTCAGTTACTATTCATGGAGCATTGCCTAAGTATTAATGGTAATATCTAAACATCCAGCATTCCACTAAAAACCTACTAAAATAAGGAAGCGATTTTATAAGCATTGATAATAATCTCAAAATTGTAGTGTTTATGAAAAGAACCGAAGTGCAAGTGGTTGTGTACAGTGTGCTAACCTCTGTGTAAATAATTTTGAAATAAGTCTCTAGAGATATGCACAAAGAAAATGTAGCATTGGTTATGAATTTCCCCCTTAAGAAGGAAACTAAGAGGCAGGAGAGATGTTTCAGTGTGTAAGTGCACTAGCTAATCTTTTTTGTTTTGTTTTGCTTTTTGTTTTTTGAGACAGGGTTTCTCTGTAGCTTTGGAGCCTGTCTTGGAGCTAGCTCTTGTAGACCAGGCTGGCCTCGAACTCACAGAGATCCACCTGCCTCTGCCTCCCGAGTGCTGGGATTAAAAGCATGCGCCACCACCATCCAGCAGCACTAGTTAA